TATATGAATAGTTATAGCAATTGATGATTCACAATTCACATTTATAGCAAGGGAATGCATTAATTCACTACGCTGTCAGAGCAGGTCATATTGATATAGTAGCCTTTTTACTGGAAAATAAAGTTGATCCTAACACTGCTAATCCGGTTATTGTTATTATTGTTGTTGTTATTATTATTATTTTTGCTATTACTTTTTATTGCAGAAATGTCTTTTTCAATATTTGTTAAAAATTGTTGAGTTATGTTATGGATGGCGCCTACAAAGATAGCTATATGTACGATTTATTTGAGTGATGATTTGGTTTGATTAATTGGTTGATTTGTAGATAGAATGGCTGGTTGGTTGATAGATAGATAGACTGACTGAACGACCGCCTGATTGATTGATTGATAAATAGATTGATTGATCACTGATTAATTGGTTGATTGATAGATAGATAGATTGATTGATCCCTGATTGATTGGTTGATTGATAAATAGATTAAATGATTCATTGATTGATGAATTTATAACTTAAATTCACTTTTAGACTGGGACTACGCCTATTCAGTTGGCAGCATTTTCAGGCTTCAATGAATTAGTAGAGATGCTGTTTTACAGTGGCGCGCATGTAAACCATCAAGATACAGTAATCATTTTAACTTTTTTTCATATTTAGTTAAATATTTATCATAATTATATTACTAATTATAATTAATAATAATTGTTAATTATGTTTCCAGAGTGGAAATACAGCGTTACACTTTGCATGTCAGTTCAACCAGCCAATCACAGCCCTTATGCTGATCAACTTTGGTTGTAGGCTAGATCTTAAAAATAGCGTAATTAATTTATGTTTTTAATTAGCGCTACATAAACTCATGATTATTATTATTATTAAATATTATTATTATATAAATTATAAGCAAAATTGAGAAGTTAATTATTGATGTAAGTTAATAAATTGTTTTTAGATATCACAATTTTTGTTATAAGTCAATCGATAAACCAACTAGCCACCAATCCATCACTCAATTAACCAACCATTCAATCAGCCAATCAACCAACACACCCACCAATCAATCAACCAACCTACCAATCAGATAGGAGATATAGCTTTACATGGGGCGTGTCGTAATGGGATCTTACCAGTTGTGGCCCAAATGTGCTCCCTCGGCTGCCCTATCAACACCCCAAATGAAGTATGTACCGATAATAAGTCGGAAAATTAGTAGATTATATACGATTTATAAGTCTGGTGATACCGAATGGTAAGACGGTTTCTTTCGATTGATAAGTCTCTGCTTGTTTCGAATAAGCTGGCCGGTTAAATTTGATTGATTAATTAATTAATTAATTAATTAATAAGCCGGTTAATTTCGAATCGATTGAAGGTTAAAGTAGAATAATGAGTTGGTTGATTAAATTCAAATAAAGACGATTAAATACGGTTAGATTGAGCCATTTCATCCTTCAGAGACAATTGAGAGCGATAGAAATGTCACTATTTATTCCACCGACCGAATTAAAATCAATAAAAATTAAAATCAATAAAAATCTCTTTGATTTAACCAAAATCCAATCATCCTCATTATTATTATTATTGTTGTTGTTATTATTATTATTGTTGTTGTTATAGAGGCAGGAGACCCCAATACATTTAGCGGCCAGATTTGGAAGCTGCGAAGTGGTCAGGACGTTGATGCTGCATGGAGCCAAGATCGAAAAAACTGATAAGGTCGGGTTTTGATTGGTTGGTTGGTTCATTCATTTATACATTCATTCATTCATTTATTCATTCATTCATTGGTATACTTGATTGGTCATTCATTATCACCCAATAGACATTCATCCATCTATTTATACATTCGTTTATTTGTCCATTCATTCATTCATTCATTCATTCATTCATTCATTCATTCATTCATTCATTCATTCATTCATTCATTCATTCATTCATTCATTCATTCATTCATTCATTCATTCATATTCATTCATTCATTCATTCTATCATTCATTCCTTCATTCATTCACTCACTAATTCACTCATTCATTCATTCAGGATGGATATAGACCGGCTGATTTAGCTAAAGATCCAAATGTTGTAAAATTGTTTTCTCAATACAGACAGGTAATTATAATACTAACGACAACATTAATTATAGTTATAATCATTATAATTAATGATAATAATAATTATTATGGTTGCTATTATCATAAAAAAGATCATAAATACCGGCTCGGGACAGAATAAAAAATTCGAATTGAGGAAGCAATTGGCTCCGAGTGAGAGACCACTGGCTCGGTTAAAAATATCGGTACTCGGTAATAGCGGCGTCGGTAAAACGACGCTTATCGAATCTCTGAAATGCGGTTTTTTGAAGAGTTTTCTGTGGTCTAGTTACTATACTTTTAGTAAATCGAGTAAATCTAGTAAAGGTGAGTTGGTTGATTGGTTTTCAGTTGGTTGATTATTTGGGAGTGAATGATTGATTGATTGGTTGGTTGTTGGTTGAGTGATTAATGACTAACTGACTGATTGATTGAGAGTGATTGGTTGATTGATTGAGAGTGATTGATTGATTGAGAGTGATTGATTGATTGAGAGTGATTGATTGATTGAGAGTGATTGATTGATTGAGAGTGATTGATTGATTGAGAGTGATTGATTGATTGAGAGTGATTGATTGATTGAGAGTGATTGATTGATTGAGAGTGATTGAATGATTGATTGATTGAGAGTGATTGATTGATTGAGAGTGATTGATTGAGAACGATTGATTGATTGATTGACTGGCGGAATATTATAAAGTATAAGTGAAACATTAAATTCGTAGAAGCAACAACAGCCTTGAACGATCCGATGGGCGGATTTAAACTGGACAGCAACAACAACGCCAACGTTCAAAATTACAACCACACCAAAGGTGTTAACATTCAGAAAACCACGATTTCAGGTTAACAAGAGATGCATAGGTGGATGAATTGACCATTCGCTCGTTTGTTCATTCATTCACTCGTTCGTTCATTCATTTTCAAATCATCCAATCAAAAATCAATCTATGAAGCAAACTGGTCTGTAAACCGATCAACTTTTTGTCTCCGTTTTTTCTCTTTGTCAATAAATCTCTCTCTCTTTTTTTCTCTCCCTCTCTCTTTCTTTTTCTTTTTTTCTCCCTTTCATGCTCTAGCTCTCACACACAAACACACACACACACACAGACGTTGGTGAAGTGATGTTCCTAGATTTCTCCGGCTTGGAATCATATTACGACCAGTACAGCCTGTTCCTGGGAGATTCAAGTTGCGCGCACATCATTGTTCTGAGTTTGAACGACAGTGAATCAGTCAGGAATAAGCAGGTCGATTTCTGGCTCGAGTTTATAAGGGTGAGGATGTCACCGAAAGAACCGATCGGTGAGTCGGTTTAAATATTATTATTTATGGGTTTTTTTTTAATTATTTTAATTATTAAGTTTAAACCGAATTTAGTATATCTAAGACCTTGTAAAAACTTCTGTCAACAAGCGATTGCAGCAGTGAAAATAACGTTTGAAACAACTATATATAACCACAACCAACAACAAAAACCATCAACAATAATAACAAAAATAAAAATAATTTAGGATTTGCCGGCTGCAACATGTGGGCTCCTAACATTTTCATCGTCCTAACAAACCCCAATGAGAGCAACTGCTCTAAAAACGAGAAAGGCGAATGGTACCTTAAAACGGAAAGCACCTTTTTCAGCACCCTCCTTGAAAAGTTCGAAAGAGATGTTATAATAAATCAACCTCTATTTATTCTCGACGCCCAACTGCCTAGCTCCAATGAAATGAAAGAATTGAAGAAGATTCTAGCAAAGTTGAAGGATTATATTGGAAATGTATGTTTGTCTGTGTGTGTATGTGGGTGTGGTTGTGTGTGGTGTGTGTATTTGTGTGTGTACGCCATGTGTTTTTTATGTGTGAGAGTGTGAGTGTGAGAGATAAAAAGTAAGATGGTTATGCTATATTTCAACCACCGAAACTAAAAATGTTTATCAATAATGTGTGTGTGTTTGTGTGTGTACGTTCGTAAATGTTTAGGTGAGAGAGAGAAAGAACGAGAGAGAGAGAGAAAAAGAGAGAGAGAGAGAGAGATAGAAAGAGAGAGAGAGAGGGGAAGAGAAAGAGAAAAAGAAAGTTATACTGTAAATGATAAATGATAAAAATGTTTAATAATAATATTAGTATAGTAACTTATTACACATGTAGTTGTGAATAATATAATTCATATTTTCATTCTCGAACAAGTTCTTGCCAACAAGAATTGGATGCCTGGAGCAAACTCTCCTGGAATTCCCAGCATTCGTTCAGGATCACATCTCATTCCCCGTCGTTTGGTTCAAAGAGTTTGCCGATTTTGTTAGAGAGAAAGTGAATCTGTTTGCGTCTGACGAGAACATACGCGAACTCCTCGTCCAAATGCAACTCATGGGAGAGGTTAGTTGGTGGGCTGGTTGATATTTGTTCATTTGGAAGCCATTTAGTCACAAATATCATACATTTTAACCTGAGAAGTTTACGAAAACAGGTGATATGCTTTGGATCGGAGCCTCAGGACATGGTGGTTCTCAACCCGAACTGGCTGGGAACAGAAATCATCGGCAGGCTGCTGTCCAGAGAACATCTCCAGGCATGCAACACGTGGTCAGGGTTCCTTCAAGTACCTTTCCTTGAAAGTATCTTTCAAAAGATGGATGTTCCGAAAATTACGAAACTCTTGAAATCGTTGGATGTAGCGTTTGATAGGACAGTGAACAACAACGTCGAATATTACGTACATGCCTACAACAAAACTGATTTCAAATCAATGGCCGATGACATTGTGGAAGTTAAAAGGTCGGCGCCACTCAAATGTTCGATAAAAATCGCCACACCGCAGCCCATAAACAACCAATTCCAGTACATCCTGTCTCATGTTCTCGTGTCCCTACATAGGATCCTTCAAAGTGAAAAAAGCGAATTCAGTCAGTGGATGAACGCCTGCAGAGTGCACGACTCAGGCAAAACTGCCATCATCGAACTGGAAAACAGTAAGTTCAGTACTGGATTCATCGTGCATTGCTACTCCAACGATAGCGATGCGATGAAGTTGTTTGCATTCTGTGAGACTATATGTGCGATCATTTTTAGCTCAGTTGATCAGCAATGTCCTGGCTTATTCCTTCAACGACTGCCTGCTTCTTGGGTCGATTCAAGTGCAAATAACCCGCACCAATCAAATATTTCATTCTATAAGGCTGAGTCAATTCTCACGAATGTCTTCAAGAATCAGAGCGATACGGTGAAGATTGACGAATTATCAAAAGAAGAGAGATTGGTTGATGTGTTGGCATTCGGATCGCAAGAAACTTTCGATAAACTTCAACTCGGTATAGACGCGCACATCTCTTGTTTGTCCTATTACACCAGATGTCAGATCGCCTGGTTGCTCGATAAAGATATCGATCTTTGCAAAATTTTAGCCGAACTATTGAAAATCGATGAAAAAGTGGTACCTATCGAGCCTGGAACTGTTAGTATATTCGACCGATTCATGTCTTACTGGAATTACATCCCTGATATGACTGTGAGGAAGTTTTGTGAAGCACTGGAAGATGCGGATTACGGAAAATACGTTGAGCTGGTCCTGAAATTGACTCCCATCTTCGTGTATGGACCCATCCCACCAGATCAGTTCAACAATCCTAATTTGAAATCGGATGAACGGCCACTATCCCAATCTCTGGTTGAAGGGGAAGAATAATTATCTGATTTTTTCAATTTATTAGTTTGATTAATTAATTAATTAACTTATGTATTTATTAAAAATATTTTATTTATTAATTTCGAAGGTTTCAATTTTTCAATCAGTTCTGACTAATTTAATAATTTATATGTAACGTCTAAATGTACCTACCTATCAAATACAAACCTTCACACACATACATAGACGTACACACACATACATAGACGTACACACACATACATATACACGGAAATGATAAACTCTTTGTTAATTTTGTTAAGTTTGTCTGTAAAATAAAGTGAATAAACCATAAAATCGTCCTATCGTTCATAAAATAATATCCTATGCTATAATATATCGTTCCGTATTAATGGAATTGTCTCTTGGTAATGATATCGTCTCGTATATATATATATTTAGGAACGAGGCTCTCTTTAATACCAATGTCATTAAAAATGGTTACCCAGCGTGCATTTATAATCCTTTTTTATCAAAACCTCAACACTTCTGAGTTTGTTGAATTCATATTTATTGAGAGGAAAATTATTATTGAGCTTGGCTGACAGTACTGTTTCGGAGTTAACCATCGTCGGAGCCTATTAGATCAAAAACACATAGTCAGAAATGCAAAATTTGAAATTAAATATTAAGTGAAATTTAAGTAAATGAGCAGTTGAATTAATAAATTAAATATTAATTAAGTTAAAATATGAGAGTACCTTCGAATATTAATGACATTATATATATATATATATATATATATATATATATATAAGGAAATATAAATGAAATCACCAAGATAATAAAATTACGATAACTGAGAAACGATATGAAGTTATAAAATTGGAAAATAATATAGTGAAGTTAGTATTATTTTAGTATATCTTAGTTATATATAAGTTAGTATATCTCATATTTTAACTTAATTAATATTTAACCATCATCATTACCACTAATGTTTTTATTACTGTTGTTATTGCTATAATTATTAGTCTGATGTTTTTATTGATAGTATTTTTAAGCAATTATATGCAATAGGAAATATTTATATATATATAAACATATATGATGCGTGATATAGTTAAACTATATATAGGTTGTATATATATATATATATATATACAACCGATGTTTTCTGGCTTTTGGCATTGTGTTATAAGATAAGAAAATGAAATTACTAAGATGAAGAGATGATGTTGTTGTTAATGTTTTAGACATGGTTAATATAGATGTATGTTGTTTTATTATTTAAAGTTCATGTTAATTTATGTAAATTTATGTAAATTCATGTAAATTTATTAAATATATTTATTGGAAATAATATTTTTTGAGTAATCGTTTCGGGGAAAATAATTTTCCTACATTGTACAATTATGTACATCCGTGCTTGCGTGTCGATAGTTTTGTATTTGTAACTGGTCTCATTTGTTTGTTTGCTCTTTTTGATTCTCTCTCTCGTTCTCTCTACCTTTTTCTTTCTTTCTCTCTCTCTCTTTCACTCTCTCTCTCTCTCTCTCTCTTTCTCTCTTTTTACAGACTAAGATATGAGTAGAAGAAAACAAGAAGAGGTTGGTCATGATTACTTTTAATTAATTTCTCAATCCTTCCATCGGTCAATCAACCATTCATTCATTCATTCATTCATTCATTCATTCATTCATTCATTCATTCATTCATTCATTCATTCATTCATTCATTCATTCATTCATTCATTCATTCATTCATGCATTCATTCATTCATTCATTCATTCATTCATTCGTTCATTCATTTATTCATTTATTCATTTAGTCGCTCACTCATTTATTCATTCATGCACTCATCCATCCATTCATCTACATCAGGAGCAGTTTTTTAAAGCCTGCCAGCAAGGTCGAATCAGGGCGGTGCAAGAAATTTTATCGAAGTATTCATCGAAGGCCGAAGAACTCGTCAACTCTTACTCCATTGATAGGAAAACATCTCTATATTACGCCATTTCTATAAATAGGTCAGTTCATCTCTATAAATAGGTCAGCTCATTTTTGTGGTCAATTCTAATTGGGTTAAAATTTGTCAGTTCATTGTAGGTTCATTGCTGAATGTGTGAAAGTATGTCAGTTCATTGTTGGGTCATTTTTGATTGGATGAAAGTATGTCAGTTCAATGTTGAATCGTATGTGTGTTTGCGTGCGTGTGTGTGTGTGTTTGTATGTGTTGAGTGTGTGCGTGTGATGTTTCCATTGCTTACGTTAAAAATCCTTGAGATGGAGTGTTTGTTATCGGTACATGTGTGTTTTTTTTTTCATTTTTCTTTCTGAAGAAAGTCTTTCATCATCGTCGTCATCATCACATCTATCATCGTCATCATCATCATCATCATCATAATCCTCACCACCATCATTATCATCATCGTCAGCTTCCCACTGGTTCGTCTGCTAATAAAACACGGATCGAACGTGAACCGACCCAGCAGCGTCTTTTACGGTCGGGATTGTTGCAGTCCCAGTTTCGAGAGCTGTGAGGAGCCGCCTGTCGTAACGGCCGCCAGGATTGGGGCCACAGAAATACTAAGATGTCTTCTACGGAACGGTTAGTGCGGTGCAGATGTGAGGTTTAGTTAGACCGTAGTAACACTTTTTTTGGGCGTTTTAATGGTATCTAATCTATTTTGTTACGCTTTCACCAGCTTATTCAGTTTTAACACAAAGTACCTCATGGTTTGTATAACAAAAAAGTGTATGCGTGTGTACGCGTATGTGTGCGTGTGTACGTGTGTATTTGTCTGTGCATTGTTGTGTTTGTTAGATAAAATTATTAACTTATTTAACTAACTTTTTCTCTTTTGCAGGTGGTTCAGTTAACCAGCAGTCTGAAGTTCTATCTAGTCACGCCAACTTTACTACAACTAACAACAACAACAACAACAAAGACAAAAAACGTTCCAGAAACGATGACGAAAATTCCCGACTAAATAATACCGACCTGAACCGATCATCAAGTCAACAATCATTAACGGATATCATGAATGACATCGGTATTTCGCCCGGTGTCGATAACGGTATTTCAACCGGTAGTCGACCGAATGAGTACCTCTTAAGAAGTCACCCTGCTAACCGATCAAGACCGTCGAGTCAGTGCGGTTACTTCGGTATGAGTGCCCTGCACAGCGCCTGTGAATCGGCTCAGGTTGTAATTTATAATTACCGACAATTTTATTGTAATTATTTTAATTATAATTAAATGTCACTTAATTCATAACCAAATTAATTAATTTTAACGATTTTAAAAATAAAATTACCATAAATATTGTAATCGTAATAATTGTGATCATAATATTTTTTGAAAGGTTGATATAGTCAAGTTGCTCATAAGCAACGGAGCTGATGTGAATGCCGAAGAAGGCAAGAGGCAAGAGAAGCCGCTGCACATCGTCGCCAGGTTCGAATACGACACAAGATGATTTTTTTTAAATAATTTTCTTGCCGAGATTTCAAACAACTGTCAAACTTATATACTAAGTGAAAGATTTTTTAAATTAATTTCAACATAAAATATATTAATTATTTTCATTTATATTTAAATAATTTATAAAAGTCTAAGATGTAATTATTTTAATCAAAAAACTTCGGCAGATGTCAGCCGAGCACCTGTCCCCAGCAGTGCCAGATATTGGAATTACTCTGCTCTCTGGGGGCTACCACGAACTGTCTGAACCGGAAAAAACATTCCCCTCTCTACATCGCCTCCCTTTATGGCTGTTCCAAGAAAGTTGAATGCCTCCTACAACACGGGGCAAATCCGAACCCTTACAACTTTCACCCTCGTAAATTATCCGGATTAAATTGTTCAGATTGGGGTGGGTACGGGTCAGCCATTCATATCGCTGCGTACAAGGATTACCTACAACTTGCCATCACGCTGATCAATAGCGGGGCCGATATCAACTGGAAGAATCAGAACGGGATGACACCGCTGCGGTTGAATGTAGCGGTTCGAAATAAAAGTAACATCGCCGCCCTCCTCATATTTCACGGAGCTCTGTTGAACGGTCAGAGCGAGTACTTCAGAAACATCTCCCTTTTTCATTATGAAGGTTTAATGACTGCCAACCAACGTTTCCCATTATCAAATAGTCCGCACTTATCGAGTCGTAGTTCACGGAGTATGCAACAAAATGCTGAATGGAACAGTTCGGATTTGAGCTTGCTTTCGGCGTGCATACTGAAACCAAGGCTGGATTGCGAGAGTCTGGCGATATTGTTGATCCAGGCTGGTTACGATTTGAATCAAGATCCCTGGTTGAGCTTATACAACGTTGGAGATGGGACCTACGATGACGAGAGGACGGTTTCCCCGGCTGAATGGAGAGTTACTAGGTTGTGCAGATGGCTTCGAACTAGGCAGCAAACAGTTAGATCTTTAGCTGAAATCTCAAGAGCAGCTATAAGATTTTATTTAGTAGGTTCTAGTAACGGGGCCTCCATTGTGAATAATGTAAACTATCTACCGCTGCCAATCGGTTTGAAGAATTTTGTGCTGCTGAAGAATTTGTCTGGCCACAATATAGAGCCTGCAATTTTCGAGTGTTTGAATGAATTACAATAATGAGGTTGATGTTTGTATTAGGAATATATTTTGTTTTGTTGAGTTTTATATTTTTGCTGTACCATAGTTAGAAAATAAATTTTCATTTGAAAACGAGTTCAACATTCAACTCCTACGAATCGACACAGTTTTGCGTCCCAAGGCAATAATTTCAATTTTTAAATTTTTATTTCGCATAAGAACGCATAAGAAAACGAACATGAAAAAAGACTCCAAAAAAGAAAGTAAAATCCTAAATAACACATGGAACCATTGGAATTGAAATAATTGTTATAAAAATCATTTCATCTGCTAAAAAGCTAAAGGACAATCAAATTGTGTAGAAACTAACAATAAAAAAGATTAATTTCTATTAAACAACAATAGTAAAAAGGTTATTTTATTTTGGTACACAACCAAAAAGCACGTTATTTTTCAATGTTAGGAGCGTATTTGTGAGGAATTTATTGACGGGAACAATATTATCATCATTATAATATAATAACAATCTTCATACTTCCTACTCTTCTTCACAACAGCAAGGCAGTAAAAAGTATGGAAGTATGTTTGTGTATGTATGTACCAACAGCATACATGTATGTGGAATAAATGGAATGACGAGTGAATCTATGTATGTTTATGGAGAAAGAAATATATATAAAATGTATTAAATACATGTGTATATAGACGTTTCTAGATGTATGTATGATATGATAAAAGTGGTTTTTGTATAAAACTTCCATTGAAATGTGTATTTGAAAGTTAAAGTGTTAAAATAGTGAAGGTCTCATAACATATGAATAATTTTGTTTATTATTTCGCTGCTCAGGATAAAAATGCGCCCACTTTTAAGATAAAAATTTACATTTCGTTTTTAAGTTTTACATTTTTCAAGATTAAATTTTTTAATTTGTATATGTTTTTATGAAACGAACGGAGAAAAGTTGTTTTAAGCAAAGTTTACACATTTTGAATTTTTTGCAATTTTTTGGTGATTTGTTTCTGTTAATTAGTAAGTAAGTCTGTGATCACGGATTTAACCAGTCAGGTTTTATTTGCTGTAGTGATAGTAAAATAAAAGTAAAACTAAAGCCTAACTAAAGTAAAGGTTAGAGAGTTTGTTTTTTAGTGCTCTAAGTTATCTCTCTTTAAGACTTTTTTTTCGTTTATTATATACATAATAAAGTTATAAATCATTTAATTTAATTAAAAAATCTATCTAAAAACTATTCAGCTCAATATGAGCAAATTTATATAAAAATAATGTTTGTTTTTTTTTTTTTTATAGGAAAACTTTGGCCATAACTGATCTGCAATCTATCAAACTTTGTGTTGGTTTTACACTTTAATTTTTATAACAAGCAAGTAATCAAACATGGATAGAGATAAATGGAGAATACAGGAAAGCGCACGAGGTAGCAGCAGCAGCAGTTCATCAGGCAAGCCGACTGTCAACTACATCAACATCACCAGACTTCCGGAAGGTGGCATAGTAAACATCGACATCAAAAGACAGCCTGGCTCAGCCACAGTCGACCAGTCCCCAAGTTCTAGTGACAATTTTTTCAGGACATCTAGTTTGAGAGGTTCTTCCTCACTCCCCGGTAGCATAACTAATTTTGATGATGACTTCTTTGATAACACATCATCAAGGATTAGATCCATGCTCAGACAGCATCAGAATAAATTTGAAGATTCAAAATTCACCATCAACCCACGTGAGGGCAATGTTCAAACGATCGAAACAAATGGGACAACGGTCGTCATCAAGCAACCACCTCTGCCAGTTCATGTTCAATCAACTGGTGGCAGTAGTAGTACTGGGGCCAGTCCTTACAGAGTTGTCATTCATCATCCTAGATCTCACAGTTCAGAAAGTGTTGTAGTTGAAACATCATCACCTGGTTCTCCAACTACAAAACATGTTATTTCACCAAGAACTGGTTCGGCTAGTAACGTCTCCATGTTGGAAACAAAATTTCCTTCATTGAAAGCGGTCTCACCATTCGGTCAGAGGTCGTTTTTGATTTCTTCACCCTTATTTGGGGAGGGTGGTGGGTCAAGGTTGTCCCTGTTCGATCGTTTCAATGAACATGCACCTCCTGCTTTTTTCGAGTCAAAGTTGAGATCAGCAAGCAATCCGGAAAACATTCATGTTTCTCGAGTGACTGTGGTCAGAGATGGAACGAGTGGTGGGGGTGGTACGCTGGGGAGGGAGAGGTCAAAGGTTCACAACATACCCATCAAAATTGAGGGCAGAGATGTCGACCCAGCAGCCAGATCAAACAAATCATCGGTCATCTACAAGATCCCAATCAATCTCGTTTCAAAAACAAGCACTCCAGATCAGCAGCAGCAACAGACAGGTAGCCAACAGCAGCAGCAGCACATACAAGTTAAACCAAATCGCATCTCCATACCCATCATCACTCACAAAAAATCAACAACTCCGACATCGTCGTCGGAGGCTGAGGAAAAGTTAGCAGCACTGACAAAACAGTTGGAAGATGAGATGAGGATGACTGGAATGCCGGGGGCAGTTCCTCCCAAAACGATCGTCGGGACTCCATCGACTTTGAATAAGTCTGCTGTTCCAAGCCCACCCAACGCTGAAAGTAATGCTTTGCCATCATGTTTTTCAATAGTTTCAATGTCATTTTTCATTTTATTATTTTCTCATTGACATATCTATAATATTTTTGCTCATATCTTCAGTTGCTCCTTCTCAAGTACCCATTAAAAAGCCTCAAGTCTTTGATGAACTAGGGAAACCAGACATCAGTACCCCACCCGTGGTTGAGAAATTGTCGGATGAATTAGGGAAAGATGCTTCTGCTCTCGCTGGTAAGAGTTTGGTGGCAAAAGATGAAGAAGAATTGAAGTTGTTTGGTTTGTTATTGCTGTTGCTGATGTTGTTGTAGTTGTTGTTGCTGTGGTTGTCATTCCTATCGGTGATGTTGTATAATGATTGACAAGTTGCGATCGTTGATCCAGGCCTGTGTAACAAGTGTACGAAGGATGTTTTCATAGCAGATGGATGCAAGGCTATGGGCAAGTTGTACCATACCTCATGCTTCTACTGTTCTATATGCAGTTAGTATGTAAATACACACTCGCACAGACACACACACGTGCACACATACACACACACACACACACACACACACACGTACACACACACACACACACACACATACATACACACAAACACATACATACATACACACACACATACATACATATATACATGCATGCTTGAAAGAGACATGATATATTTGATTGTCCGTTTGTCTGTGCATGTTTATTTGTTTGTATGTATATAGGTATGTATATATGTATGTGTGTTTATTTGTGTTTTTGTATGTATGTTTGTATATGTATGTATGTGTTTGTTTGTTTGTTTGTTTGTTTGTTTGTTTGTTTGTTTGTTTGTTTGTTTGTTTGTTTGTTTGTTTGTTTGTTTGTTTGTATGTTTGTTTGTATGTATGTAGATAAAAAGTCTACACATAATAATCACTCCATAGTCCAATAGTTTTTTTTAGTTTTTAGACGGGCGTAATAAACAGCTAGAAGTAATAATTATTATGAATATAATAAAAATTATAATAACTATAATAATAATCAGACAAATCGTTGAGGGGGAAAGTATTTTATGACGTGAAAGGAACCATATACTGTGAAGAAGATTATAAGGTCTGTTATTGTTGTTGTTGTTGTTGAGGTTGTTGTTGTTGATGTTGTTGTTGTTGATGTTGAAGTTGTTGTTGTTGCTGAGGTTGTTGTTGTTGATGTTGTTGAAGTTGTTGTTGTTGTTTGTAGTCACATCACATTCATACCTCTAGATACATCATAGACAATTTTACAAAAATATACAAATATATTTATATCATTATCATCACCGCCACCGTCATCATCACCATCATCATCATCATCATCATAATCTCCATGTACGATTTTCTGATTAAAACAATGGATTAACTATATACATATCAATGTTTACTTATTACATTATCCAGTTTAATTTCATTTATTTATTTGTGTGCGTGCGTGTATGTGTGTTTAGTTTGTGTTAATTTTTAATAATAATAATAATAATAATTATTATTATTATAAAGTCTGTCCTCTATTTAACCTCTCAACTACTCTGCTTGTTATTATTCTTGTTATAAACAGGTTTTTGTTTGTATATATGTGTATGTTTGTACGTATGTATGTGTAAGTATGTGTGTGTAAGTATGTGTGTGTGTGTATGTGTGTGTGTGTCTCTGTGTGTGCGTCTCTCTGTGTGTGTGTCTCTGTGTGTGTGTGTGCGCGTATTTTACCATCTAATATCCTACAATGTTTGTTGAAGCTATTTTTAAAAATCATCTAATTACAAGTTGATCATTGTTATTATTGTTCTAGTTTGTTTGTCTGTCTGTCGGTCTATCTGTCTCTTTGTTTGTTTGTTCGTCTGTTTGTTTGTTTGTTTTCTGTTTTTTCATTTAATTCCATTTCAACACATTCTACATGCATGCATGCGTGCGGGTTATTGCATGGCTTAATAGTTTTATTTTACTATCTTTTGTTGTCTCTACTTGATAATTTGTTGTTGTTGTTGATTTTGTTTATTTGCTGTGTTCCATATTATCACCATCCATCATCATCATCATCGTCGTCACATCATCACAACATCATCATCATCATCATCGCAATCATCATCATCACTATCACAGAAATCAGGCTACAAACAGTTGTCCGAAGTTTGCAAGGCCTGCAGTCGCCTCATTCTCGACGTGGTTGGCACCTCATTATAATAATTTATGTTAATTAGCCTAAATTATGCAAATTTGCATACATTTGTTTTCATCTTTTTAAAATTTATGCAAATTACTATACGTCTTCGCATAAATTATGCTAATTAGGTAGTCCAGGCTGCAGGCCACGCCTACCACACGGGCTGTTTCAAGTGTAGTCAGTGCCAATCATCACTTCAGGATCAAAATTTTATCATCGATTCTAAAAATACCCTCCTCTGTGTTGATGATTACTATAAGTAAGTTTTTTCCTTTTAGTTATAATTAATAATAATAATTATTATTATTAATAATATAATTTTTACTGATAATTATGAATATAATTATTGCTTCCTTGTATATTTTTCAGGATTCACTCGATGGAATGTGCTGCCTGCAAGAGACTAATCAAACCAGCAGACGTATGTTCTTTCCTCACAGTGGCACTAACCATTTATCATTTGTTATAATTATCAGTCGTAACAAACATAGACACAAACAAACAAAGACACAAACAAACACACAAACACGCAAACACACAAACACACAAACAAACACATACATAAACATTCACCTACTTACATACATACACACGCGCACACACACACACATACACACACACACACACAGGGAAGCAATGAGGTTGGTAAAGTGATGGTGATGAACAAGAGTTATCATGCTGACTGCCTTGCCTGTAGTGTTAGTTGTGATGCCAGTTTCAATTGTCTTTGTATAATTGGTTATGTAATGAATGAATGAATGAATGATTGAATGAATGAATGAATAAATGAATGGGTTATGTAATGAATGAATGCATGAATGAATGAATGAATAAATAATTGAATGGGAATGGATTTATGGATTGAGGGGAGTGAATGAATGTCTGTATGGATGTGTGTTGTGTGACTTTTTAAAATTGACATCATGACGTATAATAAATAGATGAATGAACGCAAAAAATGAACGAGTGAATGGATGAATGAATGGATGAATGAATGAATGAATGAATGAATGAATGAATGAATGAATGAATGAATAGATACATATAAATAATAATGGTTGTATCAATAATCATTATATTCCATCAGGACTGCAAGAAAAAATTAGGAACAGGGTCTGATTCAGGCTGTTACCCCCTCAATGAAGATACCATTTTCTGTAAGATGTGCTACAATAAGAGGAAGCCATCTTAAAACAAACATACACACACTCACACACACACACATTCACACACACAATACATACATACTTGAATTGACATATAAACTTAGTAATACAAACATAACACTTATATATAAACACATGCATACATACACACAAACAAACAAACAAACAAACATACATACATACATACATACATACATACATACATACATACATACACTCAATACTTGATACATGTTCTTGTTCTTATTACGTGATGTTTCGAAGTGTATTGATTATGTTTAAATATGTCTGGTCTAGTCATTATTATTAATACTATTATTATCGTTATTATTATTTTAGAAGTTGTAGCGACATAGTAGTAGTATTAGTAGTAGTAGCAGTAGTAATAGTAGTAGTAGTAATAGAAGTAGTAGTGGTAGTTGTAGTAGTAGTAGTAGATGAGGTATAATTAGCAGTAGTAGTATACACGTATAGGTTCAAATTTGAAGAAACTTTTATATAAATTAATAAAAAAATAATTATATAAGTATGGTTTTGATAATTATTATGATTATTACTAATATTATTATTATTATTATTATCTTTATTGGGAAATTGCATTCTTACTTTTTTAGGGCCCTCTTTTTCATATTTTTTTTAAGCGTTACATGAAATAAACTTGTTAAAAAAAATTCAAAACGCTCTTCAAATAAACATATAATCAAACACCATACATATATATATATATATATATATAGCAGTAGTATATATAAGCTATTGTATATATATATATATATATTAGAGCTATTGTATATGTATATATATATATATATATATATATATGTATATATATATATATATATATATATATATATATTCTTATCGTTAAGTGCAATGTCTTTTATAATTTATTGTGGTTTTTTTATAAATATGTATGCCTTATAAAATGCTTTTATTTATTTGTAAATTATTTTAAAATGTATAAATTAGTATGTTTGTTTGTTTGTTTGTATGCATGTATGTACGTGTGTATGTATGTATGCATGTTTGTTTGTTTGTATGTATGTATGTATGTATGTATGTATGTATGTATGTATGTATGTATGTACATAAATAACATTTTTGGCGCCAAGAAGTTAAGAAAAATGATTGCCCAAAAAGGATTTCCTATTTACGTGTGTGTGTTTGTGTGTGTGTGCTTGTGTGTGTGTGTGTGTTTAAATTTTAATGTAGGATATTAACGCCTCTTTTTTTATATAATTTTGACGATTTGAGAAAAGTATTTCTGATAAATTAGTATTATTATTATAATAATAGTAATAATAGTAGTAATAATAATAATTATTATTATTATTATTATTATTATTGTCGTTATTTAACTGTAATTTAATTTTAACTCAAGAGTGCTTGGATGTATGGTAGCAATGATGATGCATGTCCGCTTCAAGAATTGTGCCTTGTTCATTCTCACTACTCTTATTGCGTTTTTAAGATTTTTTTTCTTTCTTTTTTTTAGTTTAAGTTTTATTTTTGCTATATAAATATTTTTCCTTTCATCATTTCTATTTAATTTAGTTTAATTTAATTATCTTCTTGTTATCAATCAGCAATAATTGGCTTATAACTATCTCTTATTGTTTTTTGTTTCATATTTGTACATACAGACACACATACAGATACACATACAGACACACGCACACGCAGATATGTATGTGTGTATATAACTTTTTGATAGTAACCATTCAAGAGTAATTGAAATCAATGCATTTTTCGTTAGTAAAAATACCATGTAAAACAGAAATATGACTTTTCATAAACTTAACATGTGCGTATATTTATAAAATATGTTTGAGTTGTATCATTAAACACACATACACTCACACACACACACACACAAAGACACACACATACAAACATACGTACATACACACATACAAACAAACATATATACCTGCCTACCTATCATCATTACCTTTGGTATTTAAATGAAATAGCCTTATGTCATGCTATGAAAATGATGTTTATTTTTAGATACAGTTTTTTTTTTCTTTTGTATTTATAGTCGCTATTTTTTTAATCATCTCAATATATAAATATAACTTAGATAGAATTTCTATAAATAGATTTGGCCCCACCCTTTTCCTGCTCCACGGCTTTAATCTTCACTAATTAGGATTTTTTTAACTTCAACTTCTTTTATCCTTCTACCTGCGTGTATCATGTTCTAAATTTAAGAAAATTTTGCAGCCAGGCACGGACTGTATGTGTCTTTCTACATGTGTTTGTTTGTTTGTTTGTATGTATATATGTATGTGTGTGTGTGTTTGTATAAATGTATCTATGTATGTATATATGTATGGATCTATGTATGTTTGTGTATGTATTTGTGGTTTAGATCACATTTATATGAACATATATACATTCATACACTTACAAACACATTTATATTTATATATATATAAATTTTTATTTAAATAGAAGCCTTTTTAATAACTTGTAAATTCAAGCCAAAACCTGATCTAAAGCCTATTCGGAGGTAGTTTTTTTTAACGAAAATGACAAATTTAGTAAAATTCTATTGAAGTTTTGGCCATTAGGTTATTATTTTTCATAAGTTCTCCATTCTATCTCATCAAGAAAAATGAAAAAAATTTAAAAATAAAATTTTTTTTTTATTTAAATCCACTTTTTAATGTTTTATAAAAGTTGCTAGCGGCCGTCTGAAGATCGAATTTTTTTCTAATTTTAGTAGAATTAGTAACAAAAATTAAAATTTATTTAGTAATTTAGATTAAAAATTAAATTGTTTATTAGTCAGTAACTATTTCTTAAAATGCCGCGACTCGATACGGACGTAAAACTTGATTTTAAAGACGTTCTGTTCAGACCCAAAAGAAGTACCATTGCTAGTCGGGCAGACGTCAGTTTAGTCATCTTATTCTTATTTTCCACTGTAAATTATTCACTTTAATTACGTTTATTATAATTATTAATTTTATAATTGTATTTACCGTTTATTATGTTGCATTTTCCGCGTGTTTGTAGGTTGATTTGACCAGAGAATATATCTTTAGAAATTCTAAAATGAAATATGAAGGGGTTCCAGTTATGGCCTCCAATATGGACACTGTTGGGACCTTTGAAGTTGCAAAGGTGCTATCTAAGGTATGCACAATATATATTTTAAAACCGTTTTTTTTAAATTTTATTGCATTTGATTTAATGTTAATATTAATTAATACAATGAACTTAAGTTAGTTGTTGGTAGAGTGTATTTAAAACACAAATAATAAGTTGAAATATTTTGTTTAGTTCAAAGTCTTCACTGCTGTACACAAGTATTATTCTGTCGAAGAATGGAAAGACTTTGCTGCTAAAAACCCAAGTGCCTTGCCTGTGAGTAAGCTAAAATCTTTCCCATCTCATCTGTCGCATAAACTAATCTTAATAGAAATAAATTCATTTTAGATTAATTTACTAAAATTTCAGCACGTAGCAGTCAGTTCAGGCATGAAGGATAGTGACCTGGAGAAGTTGAAACAAATTATAAAAGCTGTCCCTGAGCTAATGTACATCTGCCTCGATGTTGCTAATGGCTACTCTGAACATTTTGTTAAATTTGTTAGGAATGTTCGTGAACAGTTTCCTGGCCATACCATCATGGTTTGTGTGCATTCGTGCTATATTTTGTTTGTTGTTACAATTATTATTTGTTTCGTTTTGCATTATGATGGTAAAAAATATTTCTATGAAAATTTAACGTTAGTTCAATTTCAAAAGTTTAAACAGTTTAGACATTAGTTTTTGCAAAATCGAATTAAAATGGAGTATACAAAAAAAAAATGAAAACAAAAAACAACCCAGGCAGGAAACGTAGTAACCTGTGAAATGGTGGAAGAATTGATAATTTCAGGAGCTGACATCATCAAAATCGGGATCGGTCCGGGGTCCGTTTGCACCACCAGGAAGAAAACTGGGGTGGGGTATCCTCAGTTGAGTGCCGTTCTGGAGTGCGCCGATGCTGCCCACGGATTGGGAGGGCATATTATTTCTGTTCGTCTGTTTGTTTCTTTTCGAGGCTGTTTCTTTTTTGGGGTTCATTTTTTGTGGGTCATTTCTTTGTACGATTGTTGTTTTCTAGGTTTGCCAGGGAAAAATTTTTGTTGTTGTTAAGGGTTATTAATCATGTATAACAAATCACAATTAGCCATGCACAACCAATCACATTTAATTAATTAATAACCAGCCAATCATATAACAAATCACAATTAGCCATGCACAACCAATCAAGTTTAATTAATTAATTACCAGCCAATTGAGCCTGCTTTTCACACACAACTTGACAATAAAAATTAACAACCAACTAATCACAATCAATCAAACATGCGCGCGCGCACACACACACGCACAAACACACACACAACCGACCAATCAAAATGAACCAACTCACACTCAACTTGAATCAATCACATTCAAGGATGGTGGCTGTACATGCCCTGGTGACGTATCAAAGGCTTTTGGGGCTGGGGCAGATTTTGTAATGTTAGGAGGAATGTTGGCAGGGCATGATGAATCCGGAGGTGAACTTGTCACCAAGGGCAAGAAAAAATTTAAACAATTTTATGGAATGGCTTCAAAAGTTGCTATGAATAAGTATAGTGAGAATAAGGATTTACTGGATTACAGGTTTTTTTTGCGTGGGGTTGGGTTTAATATTTTTTTTGTGGGGAGATGTCAATTTTATAGCGATGCTATTAGTGATTAGGGGAACTATGATGATACACTTAAATGTTGTATTGGTGGACGCAATCCTCATCATCATATTCACCATCTTCATCGCCATCATCATCATCATCTTCACCAGGGCCTCAGAGGGCAAGGTCGTAGAAATAGAGTATAGGGGACCCATAGAGAAGACCCTTATCGATATTTTGGGTGGGGTGAGATCCACCTGCACTTACGTTGGGGCTTCTAAATTGAAAGAACTGAGCAAGCGTACTACATTTATTAGGTTGTATGTCTTTATTTCTGCTTATCCATTTGTTTGTGTGCGTGTCTGTGTGCATGTCTGTGTATGTATCTGTGTGTGTGTATCTGTGTGTGTGTACCTTTATTTACGAATTATTAATATTAATTTTAAGTGTTTTGATTACAATGATATTCAGTTTTTGTTTTACAGCAATTCATGTCAACCCTAACCCCCAACCTCTTTCCAGGGTGACCCAACAGCTGAATGAAGTATTTACACCATTCAACAAACCAGAGGACCAGTGATTGCATGCATAGGTGCCGCTCTAGTCGCATTTTTCCTCTGTTTGTCTACCTAATTAGAGAAATTAAGGAAAAAATTAATATATATTTATTGAGGAATAAGTTAAGTAATTATTGTTAGTTCTTTGTGTGATCTGGTTTTTATATTCATTTGTTCGTTCGCTCGTTCAATCATACGTTCATCCATTCATTCGTTTATTCGTTTATTGCATTCATTCATTCATTTATTTATTTATTCAGTCATTCATTCATTTATCCGTTCTTTTTTTTATGTTAAATATTTGTCATGTTTGGACGTGTTTTTTGGTATTTTTCAGAAAGTTTAATTCACTGGTTCATCCAACTTGTTCATTCGTTTATTTGCAGTTTTGTTTCGATTTTATACAGGTACATTATTATTTTGTTTGTTTGTGTGTTGGTTTGTTTTCTCCGATGAATGGTTATCTTGTGTAGTGTAGATTTTATAATGTTACAGATGTTTTCTATCATTGATAATTTTTCTCAAAATTGTGTTTTATATTAGTTATTTTCCAACTGTAGACGATTAATGCATGTGTGTGGTACATATAATTGTTTAATCAATCAATCAATCAATCTTCGTCTTCGTTTTGCGTCCAGAGACCCGGTTCCCCGAGGTAGGACGTTACATATAGGAGGTAGGACATATAATCGTTTAATATTATCATATTATATTATTTTCATGTCTGGCGTTGTTTTTTAATTTTTCACTAATCATTCATGAACTTCTTTCAAGCTTGTTATCAATGTTCTCATTAACATTGGCTACTGCATACTTTGAAGTGTTTGTGTGTGTTCGCGTGTTTGTTCGTGTGTGTGTGTGTGTGTGTGTGTGTGTGTGTGTGTGTGTGTGTGTTTTTACAATGTTATTAACGTCGTTCTGTTTTTTGTTCCATTATACTCTTTTTCCCTTGAAATTTCATTGAATGTGGTGATGAGTGAGAAATAAAGAAACCTCCTTTTGTTTAACCGATCTGTTGGGTTCAACATCTTGAGGTTCTTATTCTTTAAAGTAGAGGGTCTTATTCTATAAAATTAATTCTTTTAAAATTTGAAAGGTTTTTCACAGAAGTTCTGTTTGCATCATGTGTGAGTTTGAGATAGCTGATGGTATGTACATGACAATTTTTATTTTATTTAAAAGTAAACTTCTACGAAAGATAAAACAAACAAATGTATTCGTCCATCTCTAAAAAAACATATGTAGGCCAAGGCCGAAAAGAAATGGCGACTCACGCCGTGGTTGGGGAAAAAATATTTGTCGGAAAAAATTATTGCATTTGCGAAAAACCCTACCAGGAAGGAGAATTTATGATTGAATGTTCCATTTGCAATAATTGGTTTCACGGAAAGTTAGTCCGGCCGTGTTCTACGAGTTTGCCTAATTTTCGCCTGCACCACTGCTTTTTTTATTTGTTCGACGTCTGTTTTAAAAAATTAAATGCATGCTTTAAAATTAATGAATGTTATAATTTTATAATTTATTTCATTGAAAATGCAGACGGTAAAATATTTTTAAAGTTAATTTTTAGTTTTACGTTATGTTATTTTCAAATTTTGCACAATACACATTTAACTGGCCTGGGAAGTGTAATTGAAATCTGCAAGCGGTTCAATAGTTTTCAACTTGAAAACTTTTTAAGTATTATATATATATAGAATAAAGTCGCCGCCAGCTGTTGCTTTTATGTAATTCTATTACTTGTAAAACTTGGTGGATAAATGAATGAATGTTGAAAAAGAGACATTTAAATTAAAATTTTTTTTTATTTATCATTATTCCTCTCCTAAAGATGTGTACTAATAACTGAAGAGAACTCAGCCTACATTGACCAATATCACTGTCCAAAATGCAAAGAAACACATGGCCCCTTAATATGTTAGTGAATAAATGTGCTATCAGTTATATATTTTACAATTACTATTTACATTAATTTATTTTAATGATAATGTATATATCATTGTGTATGGAATATACTTAGTGTAAGTTTTTTGTATATAATATTTGCTAACAAATGTACTAGGTATATTATTCAGTTTTATTATAAAATGTTTTACTATATTATTAAATAAACTGTATGCTATATTATTATATGGTGGTTTTGTTTTTTCAAAATTAGATTTTTATATGGCTTAATTATATATTTTTTTTACTTTAAAATAGTGAAAAAAAGATTTATAGCTTGCCTTGATTTAGACTCTGAAACATGCACAGCACAATATCAGGTCTGTTCTCTCTCTCTCTCTCTCTCTCTCTCTCTCTCTCTCTCTCTCTCCTCTCTCTCTCTTTCTCTCTATTTTAAACTATTTTAAAAATAGTTTTTCTTATATAAATTAATTAAAGCATCATTTAAAAATGAAATTAGAGCTAAATTTATTTTATTTTTGACAATTTTTTTTTCATAAATTACTTGAAATTAGGGTTAAAGTTGAAATGTACAATATTTTTTTATTTTCTCATTGTGAAAATGTTGTCCATTCTACCAAAGAACGTGAGAACCGGTTCAAAAAAGTTTATGGAAAAGTTAAAAACTAGGAAATTTTTAAGGTTTTTTCTCTTGATGTTTTTTAACCACACCCACGTACAAATATAGGCACACATATACACACACATATCAGCAGAGACATACATGCACACACACAGAGAAATACACACACAGAGAAATACACACACATCAACGCAGACACACATGCACACACACACACACACACATACAAACATGCAATGATACAGTGCAGAAGACATACCGGTCATATCATTACATGGCTCTGAGTTGACATTTGATTATTTGGAGAAACATTCTTTTGACAACCCAATCCTCTCCACTTCGACTGATGGCCTACATCTTCAGACTCCTCCAACCAATTTTTCTGCTCAAGCTGTCGAAGATCTTGTTGGTTAGTCTGTTTGTTCGTTTGTTTGGTTAGTTGATAATGATACTGGGGACGCAGACTCACACACATGCATACACTCACACACACACACGCACACACATACTTATTAGGACCTATGCAAGAAATTAGTGTAATAGATGTGGCCAGGCAAGAAGACCATAGAATGTTCTTGAGAGAGTGGACAAATTATTTCACCAACCAGAGTAAGAAAAAGATACTAAATCTACTGAGTCTTGAATTTAGTAATTCCAAGTTAGTAATTATACTTTTGTTTTTTATTATTATTACTATTTTTGTTATTATTATTATTGTTATAATTTAAGGTTATCAGAATTAGTCACACCACCACAAATTGTCTTCGACGTTAGCTGGGTTACAAATATGTGGCCCAATGACGAAACAATGTATCTTAAACCTGAGGTATGTGTGATTGCGCGTGTTTGTGTTTGCGTGCGTGTGTATGTATGTGTGTCACCAACAGGTCCAGAAATATTGTTTGATGAGTGTAGAAGATAGTTACACAGACTTCCATATTGATTTTGGTGGAACCTCAGTTTGGTACCACGTAGTTAGAGTTAGTTGGCTATTATATTTTAATTAGTACACCAATGAATGTTGAACATCTATCTAATTTCAATTCCTAAATGGTTCTCTTTTTTATTAGATAATGTTGAGTATCAATAAGCGTTCGATATCTAGCTTATTTCCATTTTATAATGGCTCTAAATTATTTTTTAAAATGATTTATAGTGTATAGAGTGTCTTTTTTTTGTTGGGCATGTAAATCCAATTGTTAAAAGGTTCCAAATTTTTGAAAACTTGAATAATATTTTGTAATAAAGGGCGAGAAAATTTTCTACCTAATCAAACCAACCCCGAGCAATTTGGCGGAGTTCGAAACGTGGATGAAATCTTCTGAACAGCCCATGACCTTTTTTGCTGATATTGTTACTGAATGTTACCAGTTAGAGTTTCGTCCCTTCACTGGGGCGGCTATCATTCGTGTTATTGTCTCTAGCTATCGTATCAAAACGCCATTCACACTTGATAAAATAATGAGTAGTAGCTACCATAGCAATAATAATAATAATTATTATTATTAAAAATAATTAATTTTTTCAACTGCCAGGGTAAAGATAAAGCAGGGTGAGACCGTGTTTCTACCATCTGGATGGATTCACGCCGTCTGGACGCCCAAAGAATCATTAGTCTTTGGAGGAAATTTTTTAAACAGTTTCAACACTGATATACAGTTGCAGTATGTTCAGGCGTTCTTTCTTTCTTTTTTTCGTTCGTTCGTTCGTACGTTCATTCACCATCATTTCGTCTAGACTCCCAATGAGTTTAGTTTTTTGCGCTAGATTTTTTATACCGCTTCAACATTGAGATATCGTTGCAATATGTTCATGCGTTCGTTCGTTCGTTTATCAACTTGTTTAGATCTCCCAAGGAATCTTGTTTGTTCATTCGTTGATTCGTTCGTTCGCACATTTATTCAGCCGTTCGTTCGTTTGTTCGTTCATTCATTCGATCATCATTATTATAACTGATCTGCAGTTGTATGTTTGAATTTTCTTTTTTTGATGGTAGACGATCGGGTGATTGATTGATTAATTGGTTGGTTGTTTGATTGGTTGCGTACATACACAAAAACGTACAGAATTTACAATCTTGAGAAGCGAATCCTGGCGCCCAACAAATATCTCTTCCCTAACTTCGAACCTCTGCATTGGTTCGTTGCCTCGAGTTTGACCTCCAAGGTTAAAGGTCAGTATCTCTGGGCCATCGTGGTGATGATGATAATGAAGGTGATGATGATGATGGTGATAGTCGTTTATTACTCGGACGACTCCATCGTCACCATCACAACCGACGGCATCATCATCATAACTCACACAGACCTTCTGGAAAGAAATCAGAGGCTACCGAAGTACCTGATAGAGAGTCTGAAAGCCATGTTGCCTTGCCTGAGGGTGTGGTCCAGAGATAAGGAGGTTGACTGGAGGATGGTTGCTGATCGGTGGTTGAGTGGTTGATTGTTTAGGTGGAGGTAATTGATTAGTCGATTGGTAGAAGATCCGCGATATTTACTTTAATTATTCAAAGAATTCGTTAGTCCAATCGTTTATCTATCGGTTCATTTAATTAATTAGTTAATTAATTAGACGAACCAATCGACTGAACAGAACATGAAGATCCAGCCGATTCCGCCAAGAATCAACCACAAAATTCTTCTCAGGGATATCGACTACATAGTTGCAGTCAAATACGTTGGCTATAATTCATATTATCATTATTTTCTATGATTTATTATAACCATATTATATTATCTATCTATCTATCTATCTATCTATCTATCTATCTATCTATCTATCTATCTGATCAATCAAAATAATGAAGGATAGTTAATAACGCTGTCAATAAATATTTCAAACAGGTTGAAGTTAGAGACGAGCTGACAGGCAAACCCTGTTACGAAGTGGACACGTCAGCAGCGGCGTCCTCGTCGTCGTCGTCATCATCATCCTCCATATCATCATCATCATCGTCGTCGGCATCATCATCATCAGCCGCATTGCTGTTGAGTCCTATATTGAGGAAGAAGAATCGAAGTTTTGATCTCAGTAAATTTGTCAAGAGATGATGATGATGATCGTGACGATGTGAGGATGGTGGTGATGGTGTTTGTGATGATGATGATGTTTGTGGTGATGATGCCGTTTGTGATGGTGATGATGTTGTTTGTGATGATGATGATGATAACAGTATCTGCTACACGCATGTAATATTAACTAAATTATTTTTCATTTGGCTTGTATTCGTTGTTATTATTATTATTGTTATTATTGTTATTTTTGCTATTGTTACCATTAATCTCCTTAAAGCATCATTACCATAACAGTTTTTAAATTTTATTTTCATTGAATTTATTTTACTCAAACACACACTCACATACGCACACACACACACACACACACACACAAATGTATCTTAATGTTATATCAGGGACTAATTATCATCGACCATTAGAGTAGTAGTATATTAATTTAAATCTATTTATAAATGCCATCGTCCTTATCACTGTCACATGTTTGCTGTCATACATACATACAAACATGCATGCATGCATACATACATACATACATACATACATACATGCATACATACATACATACATACAAACAAACAAACAAGCATAAATTCATACATACATACCTACATACATACATAACATTTACAATTTTGTTAACCTTATTATAATAATAGCTCAATTGATTATAGGAATTTATATATACATACGTGTATATGCGTTGAATGTTTGTTTGTGTTTATGTGTCTGTGTGAGTGTGTGTGGTGTGTATGTTTGTATGTGTACATGGTATTATCTGAGTTAATACAATTCACAAACAGCTTGTATATCTGTCTTACTTGTGCATTTGCGGATGGATTTTTTTCCCTGTATTTCAAATGTATTTCTATGTGTGTACATTTGTATTGATATTGTACACGTTATGTCTGTCTGTCTGTCCCTCTGTCTGCATGTGTGTATGTGTGTGCGTGTCTGTGTGTGTGTTTTTACGTTTATATATGTACTTATGTGTGTATTATTTTCCTTTGTTTTTCCACAACCCCATATATACATACAATTATTCCTTTATATGACCGTGTATATATTGTTTTTGAAGGTAGTATAGGCGCGCACACGCACACACACACACACACACACACACACACACACATATATATATATATATATATTTATATAATTTGTATTACTTCTTCATGGTACATTGTTATTTAGAAAAGTAAAACCTGATATTTCCATTTTTCAGACAGAATTATTTATTTAACTGATTAATTAATTAATTATTTATTCATTTGTTTGATTGTTTGTTTGTTCGTTTACTCGTCCGTTCGTTCGTTTGTTCTTGATAGTTGTTTACTTGTTTATTTAAAGTTTTTAGTTTATTTTCTTTGCTTTTTTTTCGTCTTTTTTTTCTCCCGTAAAATTAAATACAAAAAAATTGAAATATTAAAAAAAAATGTTGAAAAATGGAATGGTAGGAAAGAACTTTTGACCCTTGGTTATCGGCGTTTGATCAGTTCACAAACATTGAATGAAGATACATGGTTCAGTTCATCTCTTGTTCGTTTGTCTCTCGTTCATTCGTTTGTTTGCTAATACGTATGTTAATATTTACACACACCACACACACGCACACACACATACGTGTCAAACACGCTACGCATATGCATACACCTTGATTGCGTGTATATATATATATATATATATATATATATATATTTGTATTGCACTTTTTAATAATCAGTGAACTCAGGTTGTATTAATAATTCTGAAAACGTACAGTCTCTATCACTGTGTTAAATGTTATAGGAATGTTCGTGTGGTAGTGTTTTATTACTCTCTTGTTAGTTTATAAATGTCTTTTTTGATTATTTTTGATTAATTACTTGTTGTTTTAATTAGATTTTAATTAGTTTCCTTTAGGTTATTATTGTTATTTTTTGATGTTGTTTTTCTACTACGGTTTATATTCCTTCTATCTTGTTTCTTTACCTTTATGAGAATTGACTGTTTTTTTTTCTGATTCATTCATTCGTTCATTCATTCATTCATTCATTCAGTCGCTCCTTCATTCGCTCGTTCATTCATTCGTTCGTTTGTTTGTTTGTTCGTCCATTTGTTTGTTACATCTTTTTCACAATAATAATCGTAAGTATTAATATTAACAATGAATTAATGATAATAGTAAGAATGGTAAATGGTTTCATCTCCCCGCAAAAATGTGTACACACACACGTATGTAATAATGTGAGTGAATTTTTAGTTAAATGTCGATTTCTTTGTGTTTGCACTTATGAAAATGATTTTTTGTTTGTTTTTTTGATTAAAAACAATTTATAAAATCAAAATTTGGTTTGTTATAATTGAATAGAATTGCATGTATGTGTGTGTGTCTTTGTGTGTTGTGTGTGTACGTATGCGTCTGTATGTGTGTGTGTTGATGTGTGTGTATATATCTTAATTTTCATGTTGGTGTATGCATGTATGTAAATCGAACGCGGATTTGGTTTTTTGAACCTAAGTTACCTTTTAATTTACAATTTAAACTTAAATTACCTTTTACACACTGGTCATATGTTTAATGTAAATAAAAAATTAAAATAGGAAATCGCTCTTTATTGCCTAATTTATCCGCGATTATTGCGATTTTTATCAAATTTTTCTATTTAAATTTTTAGAGTTCAGTCTTATATTTTTGCAGATTTAATTTTAATCTATTTTATATAAATTTTATATTTTGTTTGATCATCATGCAAGTTGACTGTAACGAAAAAATCGGATTATTAGGAAATCGAAGGCAAATTTTTTCAAAAATTTATGAAAATTTATTTTCAAAAAATTAACGATTTGTCATTTTTACGAGTTTATTTAAAAAATTTTCGTAAAACCGATGATTTTGTTACATTATTACACATTCTAGTTAACTTGCTATTGGTGGCTGGCCAAAGATTTGTTGATCATGAACTAATTTCACTGGCTGACGATAAAACTAACTAACTAAACTGACATTTCATTACAGTTTTCTTTTTTTTTGTTCAAAATCAGTGCCTATCTAATCTAAGGTCTTACCAGCCAACCAATCAATCAAACACCAAATTATTTCATTTAGTCAACAAATCTATCAACCAGTTATTAGTTGTTTAATTATTTATTTATTCATTTAATTATATTTTAAACAATTACATTTTTAGATCTGAGAATAATGAAATTACTAATCAGCGTCGTCATGACGATGGTAGTGATGATGATGATCATGTCAATAGGAATGCACCCATTATTAGCATTATGTAAGCTTGTATAATAAATGTATGAGTGAGTGAGTGAATGAATGAATGAATGAATGATAAAATAAAATTTTAAAAATCTTCATACAGTCGAAAACCTCTTATATATGGTTCAATAAACAACGACGATGATGATGATGAAAAAAAACCAGTGAGTTATGATTACAATGATGATAATAATAATAATTATAATATTATGAATAATTATTATAACAGTAATAAAGTTATATAATATAAATGGTAATAATATTATCATTTGGAATAGTATCTCACTGATAGCATTAAATGACTAACCAAAAATCATCCCACACGGCAATCACTGACGCAATCATAATCATCACTACCAGCTGATGCCTAAAAATAGAATTGCTCCTGGTAATAGTAACAATGCTGATGATGATGGTGATGATGACAACCGCAATGATAATGTCATCGTCATCACCGATGGTTACAATGATGATGATGATGATGGGGGTGGTGGTGGTGGTACCGTTGCATCCACTGCTAAACAGAGTAGTATTGTTACTATGTAAGTTGTGATGATGATGATGATGGTGACGGTGATGATGATGATAATAATAATGAGGAAGGTGCTGATGGTGATGATGATAATGATGATGATAAAAGTGATGATGATGATGGCGGTGATGATGATGATTTTGTCTTTATTTTTCCAGTTTCTCCATCTGGAATACAATGATGGGAACTTCCATACTAAGCATTCCCTGGGGCATTGATAAAGTTAGTGGATGGATGGATGGTGGGAAAGATGAATGAATGAATGATTGAATGAATGAATGAATGAATAGTTGGATATATATACTAGCATACGTATGAATTGATGGATGTACGAAGGAATGAACGAAAGACAGACCAACTAACTGGCTTAATGAATGAAGGAATGATTGAGTGTAAAAATTCATTCATTCATTCATTCATTTATTCATTCGTTCAATCAATCAATTTATCAATCAGTCAGGTTTTGTGTTTGGTATAATATTATTGGTAGTAATGGCTGGTCTGACGCTGTACACTGCCTATCTGATAGTTAAATCTCAAAAAAACATCGGTTGGTTTATTGATTGATTGATTGATTGATTGATTGATTGATTGATTAGTTAAATTGAATGAAATAAATTTCATTTTAGGTCTCTCAAATGCCAAAGATCTAGATTTTTCCGAGATATGTCGTCACTATTTAGGATCTTTCGGTGCCGGGGCCAGCTATTTATTATCTTTGTTATCTCTCTCCTGTGCAACTATCGTCTATTGGATATTAATGTCAAATTTTTTGTTCAATAGCGTCGATTTTGTTTATGGTTGGTTGAATGAATGAACGAATTAATGATTGAATGATTGAATGAACAAACAAAACAATTAAATGAATGAATTTAAAAATTCGTGTTAAACCAACGTATCAGTCAATAGAATTAAGTATGTTAAACAAACGATGGAATGAATGAATGAACGAATGAATGAACGAATGAATGAACGAATGAATGAACGAATGAATGAACGAATGAATGAACGAATGAATGAATGAATAGATGAATAAAAAGATAGCGAGATAGTAAAAGTGAATGAATGAACTTCAACTTTTAAATGCTTGCCAACAGAAACCGTTAACAAAGAATTCAATGTTACCAACAACGCCTCTTCTATAGATGATGGTAAGATGAATGGTTGAGTGAATGAATGAATGAGTGAGTGAATGAGTGAATGAATGAGTTAATGAATGAGTTAATGTAACAACGACAGCAATATTTGTCATGCAGTTATTTGCTTTGTACCGGTACCAACACGGAATCGATCCTTCCAGATATACAACATCTACAACAACATTAATCGCGACAACAACAACTACTACATCAACAACTACAATCACAACAACAACAAAAAAAACAACATCATCAACAACAACAACATCAACGATTTGTTTGTTGACGATTTAAACTATCCCAGCCCTAAACTTCAACGATTTTACGAACAAAATCTTGTTTGGTTACAGAATGACAACAACAACAACAACGATGATGATGACGTCATCATCAACAACAACAGCAACGACACAAATCCCAACAAAGATATGATATACCACAGAATATGGAACATAGAACTGACAGTACCGTTGTTTTTGTTGCTGATCATCTTCCCGCTCTTGAATTTTAAATCTCCTACCTTCTTCACGAAATTTAATGCGTTTGGTTCGTTGGGGGATTAATCGATTGACCGATTGAATGAATGAATGAGTGAGTGAGTGAATGAATGAATGAATGAATGAACGAATGAATGAATAGATTGATGAACGAATGAATGAATAAATGAATAGATTGATGAATGAATAATGGATAAATGGATAGAGTGATTGAATGATTTAAAATAACCATTCAAGCCGATGACCATCTCCAGATTTTACTGAATGATTCAATTAATGATTAATTAAATAGATAGAAAGGTTAATGGACGCATGAATAAGTGAATACACATAACACACACACTAACAAACACACGTATACACACACAAACACACACAACGTACAGGTACCATTTCGATAATCTACCTCGTTACCTTCATCACCATAAAGGCCTGCAGGTGGGGCTTAAACCTTGATTTCAACTCATCCTCATCGTCTTCCTCATCATCATTCCATGACGGTTCATGTTAGTGGTGACGAGATGCATGAATGGATGAATGAATGAATGAATGATTGAATGATTGAATGGATGGGTGGATGGATGAATGAATGAATGAATGATTGATTGAATGGATGGATAAATGAATGAATGAATTAATGAATGAATGAATGAATGAATGAATGAATCAATGAATGAATGAATGAATGAATGAATGAATGAATGAATGGATATTACTTCAAAATAAAATTTCAGATTTTAAATGGACATTCCCCGTTTTAAGCGGCATGCTGTCCCTGGCTTACTTCATACACAACGCCATCCTCTCCATACTAAAGAATCAGAAGAATCCTGAAAATAATGTGCGTTCGGTGGATGAATGAATGAGTGAATGAATGAATGAGTGAAGGATTGAGGGATTGCATGAGTGCATAAATGATTGATTCATTTTGTTACTCGTTCATTCATTTATCAATCTTTTCAGACTACCGTCTTTTCATCCATCTAACAATCAATCAATCTTTTTGTTCATTCACCCATCTATCAATTTATTTATTCATTCGTTCGTTCGTTCATTCATTCACTCATTCATTCATTCATTCATTCATTCATTCATCCATCCATCCATCCATGCAACAACTCAGACCAGAGACCTCTCCATAGCTTACATGTGCGTCATGTTTACGTTCGTCTTCATCGGCGTCACCTTCTATGCATCCTTTCCACTGGATAAGTCTTGCATTGCTGATGTTAGTTCTCATTGGTCGGTCGGTTGGCTGGCTGGCTGTGATTGGTTGGTTGGTTGGCTGGCTGTGATTGGCTAACTGTGATTGGTTGGTTGGCTGTGATTGGTTAATTGTGATCGGTTGGTTGGTTCATACATTCATTCAATCATTCGTTAATTCATTAATGCATTAATTCATTTCTTCATTAATTCATCCGTTCATCCATTCATCCAACAATTATTCATCAATCAATCTTCGGGAAACCGGGTCTCTGGACGCAAAACGAAGATTGATTGATCCAACAAACCGGCCAACTTATTATAGTTTTCACTGCGCACTTGTTTACTCACATTCAATCAATCAGTCAATCAATCAACCATCCAACCAACAAACCACTCATCCAACCAGCCATCCATCCATCCATCCGACAGAACCTCCTGAACAACTTCATAGCATCAGACATCCTAACTTTTTTAAGCAGAATCTTCTTACTCATCCAGATGACAACCGTCTTTCCATTATTGGCTTATATATTTAGGTTATTATTATTAATATTATTGTTATTATTGTTATTATTGTTATTATTATTGTTTTTATTAGGTCTCAGTTGATGGTGATTTTGTTTAAGAAAGTTTACCCTGGGTTAGATAATTATCCATTTTTATTAATTTATTCGTGTTTTGATTGATTCGTTCGTTCGTTCTTTCGTTCATCCGTGCATTCGTTCGTTCGTTCGCTCATTCATTCTTTCATTCACCGCCATCATCATCGTCATCACGATCAACTTCGGCATCATCATCATCAAGATTGTTCCACGTCCTAATGTTCAATTCGTGTCTGGTGTCCGTCTGTATCCTCTTCGCCATCTTCTACCCCCACATCGGCAGTATAATAAGGTTGGGGGTGGGTGGGGCCGATGATGATGCTGTTGGTGGTGATGATGCTGTTGGTGGTGATGGTGATGATGACGATGGGGATGTTGATGATGACAATGGTGATGTTGATTATGACGTTGTTGATGATGATGATGCTGTTGTTGGTGGTAAGGACGATGGTAATAATGTTGTTGTTGTTGATGATGGTTACTACAACAACAACAACAACCACTACTACTACTACTACTACTACTACTACTACTACTATTATGATTATTATTATTATTGTTATTACTATTTGCAGGTATTGCGGGGCGATATGTGGCCTGGGGTACATATTTAGCCTGCCAATCATCATCTACCTCATTCAGTCACGTGCTTCCGGCAAACGAAACATCGTCATCATCACCCTTGTACACGTCATCGTCGTCGTCATCGGTGTGGCTAATTGTGTAGCGCAGTTTTTTATGTGATGAGGAAGATGATGATGGTGGTGATGATAATGATGATGATGATGAAGATGATGATGATGAAGAAGAAGAAGAAGAAGATGATGATGATAGTATAGATCTTGCCAATGATGATGATGATGATGATTACGACAAACATTATACACGGCAAGACAATAATAATAAAATACAATTGAATCATGAGATTATTATCACGTAACATATTATATGTGTGTGTTTGTGTGTGTGTGTTTGTGTATGTATTTATGTATATATATAATTATATATGAATTCTGCCGAATAGTTGGCATCAATAATGAATAGTTCTAGTTCAAAGAAACCAAACTAGTTCTGGAGATGATTTGTGAAGAATTGAAATAAAGCATTATCTGCTGCTTTGATGAATTCAAATAGCAACAGTTTCATTACATTTTCGTGATGAAGTTGGATGATAATTCTATTTTCAACAGATTGAACAATCCCCAGAAGATTCCAGTATGGAAAATTGAAAAGACGAACTTTAAACTGATTAATGCCAACAATTCGGTAGAATTCGTACAATACTGTATAAAATAAATATGGTCTTCCAACACACACGGAATGAATGAATGAATGAATGAATGAATGAATGAACGAGGAATGAATAATCATCTTCTTCATAATTGTTTTTTTTATCGTAATTATTGACTCGAAGAACAAATAACGTTAAACCAGGATGTCACATACATACATACGTACATACATACATACGTACATACATACATACATACATACATCTATACATACATACATACATACATACATACATACATACATACATACATACATACAATATATTTTCGTGTTTAAAAGTTCCAGAGAGTTAGAAAACAATTGTGATAGCATACCGTTTTGACCAAAAATTATAACAATATTAATTTTTACTAATTATAGTAGTAAAAATAATAAATATAATTATTGTAAATATAATTATAATTATAAGGTTATAAATATTTTACTCTGGTATTTCCATATTTCAATTTTTAATATATCCATGAGATGAGTTCGAACACAGGTTTCATTTAATTTTTATCGATGAATTGAATGGATGAATGATGTATGAATGATTGAATGAATGAATGAATGATTGATTGATTGATTGATCGATCGATTTATTGGAAAAATATTTCTCAGATATATTGTTATTAGAAGTGAAAGTATTTTTACAAATCGGCTTGAAGAATGAAAAATTATCAGCCGAAAATGAAAGAATGAGATTCAATTTGTTGGCGAAGTTGCTCGATATTGAAGCCGCCAATAATGGTTTGTTGATTGATTTTATTCATACATTCATTCATTCTACCCATTCATTCATTCATTCATTCATTCATTCATTCATTCATTCATTCATTCATTCATTCGCTCATTACTAGTTCTTTTCGTTGTTGGTGGTTTTGTTAATTTTCCATTTCTTCCCTACAGAATATGAACCTGTCATCGGCCAAAAAAGGTAATAATAATAATAATTATTATTATTAATAATTATTATTATTTTTATATTAATATTATGACAGAAATTCGAAATTATTCAAAAATTCACCGAACTCGTCACGAGCCAAATTGAATGCACCTAGTTCCGGTAAGTTAGCAATAATAATAATAATAACAATAGTAATAATAGTTAATAATAATAACAATAATATTGGTTATAATTAATTTCGTTAATTGGTGGACGTAGTAATTATTGAAAGGTGAGACAGCCAATTAGAACGTTGAAGGGGCATAACAGGATGTTGCTGCTGCTACTACTACTACTTCTGCTGCTACTACTGCTGCTAATGTTGTCTCTGATGTTTTTGATGATGTGAAGAAGGGGGAGAGAGAGAGAGAGGTAGAGAGGGAGAAGGAGAAAGCGAAGAACAACGGCTGAAATCGAAAGAAATATAATGGGAAGAAAGAGAGGTGACAGAGAGAGAGAGAGAGAGAGAGAGAGAGAGAGAGAGAGAGAGAGAGAGAGAGAGAGAGAGAGACGAGTACATAGGATGAATGATATTTGCGTATATTTACAAATATTTACATATCTAGGTGTGTAAATTTACATGTAGAAATAATAAAAATTACTGAAACATACCTCGCAGATGGTGACGATGATGGAAGTGATGATGATGATGACGAAGAAGACGGCGATACTGATTATGATAACTATCTAGGCTCCAATGATTCCGCTCAACTTAATCGGTGACGATGACGATAATGATGATCATGATGCTTTTGTTGTTCAAGATGACGATGATGATGATGTTGTTGATAATGATGTTGTTGATAATGATGTTGTTGTTGTTGATAATGATTATGTTGTTGATGATGTTGATGATTATGTTGTTGATGATAACAACAACAACACCATTCAGCAGCGACAACAACAACAACAGCAGCAGTAGCAACAACAAAAAGCGCTCTTCCCTGCTGCTCAACCATCACAAAACAGCCAAAAAAACCGCCTCAACAACGTCTGCCACATCACTATCATCATCATCGGCGTCATCAGCGTCAACGAATTTAAAATTACTGAGCGATATTATACGCTGTAAAGTTTTCGAAGGGTTTTTGTTCAAAAAAGCAAAGATAAAAAACTCCAATAAGGTGTTTTGCGTTATTTGCAACAATCAACTGCATGTGATGAACCAAAATCCTCTCAACAACAACATCTGCAACAACAGCAACAACATCAACAATAGTTTCAGCAACATAAACGTAAGCAACAAAGATATTAAATTGCTCAAGACTATCCCGCTCAGCGGATACGACGTCATAGTGGAAAACAAAAATGGCGGAAACGGAAGTAGTTGCCACGTGATCAAAATTAGGTGTCCCGGAAAAGAGACACACCTGTTCGGGTGCAAAGATAAAATGGAAGCAGACCTTTGGAAGATGGTGATGATGATGATGATGATGATGACGATGGTGATGATGATGATGATTGCAGTGTTGATGGTTATGATAATGATGAGAGTGATAATGACGTAATCATTACTTAATTTAATTTCGTGCTCTTAGGAACTAAACAAAGCCTCAGGCCATAAAGAGAATCTCGATGAAATTGATTCTAATGTTAGTCATGTTTTTCTACGGGTCTCCCCCTCTCTCTTTCTTTTTTCACTCTCTCTCTTTCTTTGATTTTTTACTGTCTCTCTCTCTCTCTCTCTCTCTCTCTCTCTCTCTCTCTCTCTCTCTCTCTCTATCGTTTAAAAGTCATCTTCAATAATTTGATCTTTACAAATTTCAGCTGGCGGAGTACATAACAAACGACTGCTTGCACAGCAACAACAATACTACCACTACTACCACTACTACTACTACTACCACTACTACTACTACTACTAATAATAACAATAATAATAATAGTAATAATAATAATAGCAATAAACAGCAAAAGAAATCTAAAATACAATGCTTCTTCGATAAAGTTAAGCAAAATATCATGCACAAGAACAGTCAAGAGTTATTTGATGAAAAACACATAAATGGTTTGTGCATATGTTTGTTCGTGTTCGTTCGTTTGTTTGTTTGTATGTTTGTTTGTATGTATATATGTTTGTTTGTATCTTTCGTTCAACATTGAGCCAGGGATATAATATGTCTATAATTAATTAATTCAATCCATTAATTAAATAATTAATTACAAATAGGGATTCTGAATGTTTCGATAGAGACACAATCGTCATCAAAGTCGTACTGGTCTCTTAAGTTCTGCCTAATTAAAAATGGCTGCCTAGAAATTTACAAATCTAACATGGCGAACGACATACCGGAAGTAAAAATGACCCTTTCCGGAAGTACGATGACTCTCCTGCCGAACAAAGATGGCTTCTCTTTGGTTCTGCAGCAGCAGTCGATGAGAATTTTTTTGAAGGTGAATGTTGTGTGATGTCTGTGACGTCACTATTTATTCTTTGCTCTTTGTATTCACCGAATTCTCATCCATTCGTTTTAAAATTCAATCTCAGTTTACGAACCACGCCGAACTGAACAAGTGGTATCAGGAATTGACCAGCCAATCAGAATGCAGATCGACCAATCAATCAAACTTTCAACAGCCAATCACGAAGCGTTATTCTGACCCCAATCTTCAGGCATCTGGTGACTTTGGCCTCTATGATGAAATCAATCCCAATTATGGTTATTATTGAATAGTAGTAATATTATGCACATCTAATTACTATTCATGATTTAAAGATTCAGCCAATAGGAGATCTAATTACTATTCATAATTTAAAGTTTCAGCCCGCAGGAGAACTAATTACTATTCATAATTTAAACATTTCGTCAATAGGAGATCTAATTACTTTTCATAAATTAAAGTTTCAGCCAATAGGAGGCCAGCATTGCCCGAATGCCCCGTCCCCGTAACGCCTGACGTCACAAACATGCTCATGAATATTAATGACTGTAGTTACATGGACCCTATAGAATGTAGGAAACCATTGAAGGTGATGATGATGATAATGATGATGGTGGAGATGATGATGATAATTTTGGTGAAGATGATGATGGTGATTATGAAGATGATTGAAAAATGTCAAGATTTGAAATTAAGTCTAATCGTATTCGCATTTGTTGCCATCTGCACCACCACCGGCATTATTATTATTGTTATTATTATTATTATTGTTATTATTATGATGGTTATTATTATTATTTATATTATTATTATTATTATTTTTATTATCAGCCAGCGCCCGACGACTTTGCAACATACGAGGAGATTAACACGTATGAAAATAACAAAGGTCTTAATCATTAACATGATCTCTTACGTCATCATCATCATCATCATCACGATCATCATCATCATCATCGCCTCTATCATCACCATCATCATCATCATCATCATCCTTTTCGTCATCATCGCAAATAAGCTTAGTTATCGTTATTAGTAAAGTTCATAAATGCCATAAATTTGTTCATCCTTTTAAGATTCATTTATTCGTTCGTTCGTTTGTTCATTCATTCATTCATTCATTCATTCATACATTCATTCACTC